GAATTCTGACTCGATAACAAAATATGGATGAGTTGAAAAACTGGTTAATGTCAATATAAAAAACAAAATCACTAAGGTACTCAAAATTTACCGAATACAACAGCAAGTCTGACATATTACAACTGAGTTTGTCTAAGCAGCAACACAACGTTTGTTCCCCCTATTCCCCTCCCCTTTTTTTTGCCCAATATCCATTTATTAGACCAAAAGACACATTTCCTCTCCTTACCAGGGAACATTAAAGCTTAGAGCAATCATTTCAACCAAATAGCAACTAGGGTCTTCACATGATACACATCTTCTAATTTGATGATATTCAAGGAAAAGGTATTGATGAGCCTGAAAATGCTATGGCCCAGTGCATGAGCCTGACACTTTATAATCATAAAAGTTTACTCTGAGCACGAAGAGGAGCTGCAGCCATGCAGGCAATACATAGGTAGCTTGCACAAGAAGCGTTTGCATATAATCTTAAGCTGCACTTGACCTTATGGCAGAACAACAGCCAATATCCAGTTGAGAGCACTTGAGCCCTTTTAAGCTTTCACCCTTACAGAACCCTGAGGGATAGATATGTAAAATTAACACCACATTCAGCAAACAGTGGTGAATGGCCAGGGACAACAATGTTATTCAGAAACCAGTTTAATCAGCCACCTTGAAAAAAAGAATATGAACCCTTGGAACAACTTTTCATTGTGATACTAGTTTTCCATCCTCCTGCTATTTTTAATGACGAGTAGGTGGATTTACGTAGGATAAAAGAGTAAACTTAGTCCTGACTTGCTCTCCCTTGAAGTATAACCTAAGTCTACAGAGCAGCGCTGGGTCGGACAGAAATTGGGCCAGAGTGCATCTAAGAACTGAACTTAATTTGTATAAACAAACAAGCTTTATTTACAGTATTCCCTCATAAAATCCCAGGCTTAGAGTCTGCATGTTCTGTAAAGACTCCATTTATGTACACTTGAATGCCTATTTAAGCAAAAAAACAAGAGAGCTTTCCCATGGAAACCGCACAGAGATGTTTTACTTCACACGTACACCACAAACAAGGCTGCTAACTTTCCATAATTTACTGTATTTTCTTAGGCTTGCTATTGTATTTTAGGACCAAATCTTTTGAAGAAGCTGCTGACGCAGGGGGGCACAAACATATAAATAAATGACCTAAGAGAGGCAAAACCTGTGAACCAAGAGGAAACAGCATCTCAGCAGCTTGTAAGAAAATTTTAATATTTTTGGTTTCCCTGTTTCTAGCTGGAGGAACAGGTTAAAATTTTGTGTTTAGTTGAGAAACAAGCCATCTGGAGGCATTTGGAATTACATTATTTAATCAGGACTTGATTTGTCCCTTAGAATTAAATCAAGCCAGAGGGCAATCCCTGGGCTAAGACAATGGCAAGCTTCAACTTCCAGATGCTATCTCTCAGCAAGGAATAAAAGTCAGTGGGCCTCCAAGGGGCCAGGTGATTTTGAAAACTGCTTAGGAGGACACAGAGAAAGAGAAACTCGATTTCCTGAACTTTATCAGGCAGGCATAAATTGGTCCAACTACTTCAGCAAGAACACAAGTTGTTTTTCTCTGTAAGTGGAAGATTCTGCTAAACTGATGCTCCAATCTGAGAATTTGCCTTTTAGATTTAGGTGATATATGTCTACATGTGAACGTATACAATCTACTTCTATATTTATGTATTTCAGGGGAGTAATTCTGTTCCTACTTATAGGTACTACTGATTGTCTCAAGGCTACAGGAAAAGTTTAAGTCCTAACTTCAAAAGAGATGCCTACCTCAGCTTGGGGACCACAAAGATAAGCAGGGATACCAAGACTTTCAAGTTTAGCCCCTGAGTTGAAGGAACTGGATGGACTCACCTGTGTGGAAAAAAAAACAACTAACAAAACAACACACCAAACAACCCTGGGAGGAGGCTGGGCACAGAATCAAAGTCCCTTTGGCATGAACTTATGCCCATGAATAAGCAGGCTGTGTTGAAAAAGAGGCAAGGCTTGCCAAAAATGAGGATGAGGAAATCTTTGAGAGATGTTATTTCAAACTTGGTGGTGCTTCTACATCCTAAAAAGCAATGCAGTATACATACTTCATTCAGCACATGACTGGATAACTAATGAACCTAGTTGGTGCAACAGCAAGCAAAAGCTGTCCTTGATGGTGTCTTAAGCCACAGTGAGGAAGATGGGGTAAACTATTCTTAAGTGTCTGAGAATAAAGGTGGAGAATTTGGTCAGATACCAGAACGTCAAGTGGGAGATCTGGTGGCCCTAGAACAGTAGGGCCAGAAAGATAACCAGAGCTGTTTTGTCTCAAAGGATGCCAAGCTCCTGGGAGACCATTTGGCTACGAGGAAAAAAATTACATATAAGCAAAACCTAATAGTATTTAGAAATAAAAACAAGTTGCCTCCGATTTATCCAGGGCTAAATTTACTTCAGCTGAGCAGAATTACATTGCTCCTAGAGGCTGAATCAGGTATTCTTCTTTTCTTTTTCTTTTTTCAGGATGTTTTGATGTGGTGCTTGAGCCAATATATTTAATTAGAATGCTTTCCTATATATCTACATATATTCCCACATACATGGTCCATAATGTGTCTATGGTAAAAAGAAAGTAGAACAAAAAATTATTCGGTTGTGTTGAAACACACTAACCTATTCTAAGAATCCTTAGCAAGTATTTTAAACACTGTTTACATAAGGTGCTCAGTTGTGTTAAAAAGTCTTTCTTAAAATATGCTAACACGTATCATAACATCATACTTCTCTTGATACAGGTTTATTTTTGGTACCTACTCACGATCACTACTTGTTCCTGCAAGCAAAGCGCTTTTAACTAGAGCAGCTTCTCTGTCTCTTTGCAGCTCAATGATAGTTATTTCAGACACTGCAGCATACTTTCTTCCCCCTCTTCTCATCATCTTTCTCATATTACGTATCCAGTGCAAAACTTAAATCAAGGGCTCAAACATAATAACCTCACAAAATGTACATGTGATAGTAAGTGTACACATTTAGTCCTTTTTAAAAGAATTGTTATAATACTTCTAAATTTCAAGTGCAGGGCAAAGAAGTTCATTTGTATACACCCACTCATAAATGAATGCACTTAGCAGACAGCACATAAGTACTTGTAAGCTTCCAGCTGCAAAAGAAATGCATTTTCTAGTACAGTCATAAAAAAAGCCACAGTAATGCTTCCAGTTATTGTTTCATTATTCCTTGTTTTTTAAACAAAAAAGTCATAGTATTCTGCCAGAGGAAAGAAAGAAATCCACCAAAAAATAACGTATTTGATCAAGAAATGAGTCTCCTAGACAGTACGGTAGTAAACCCAAATACTAGCAAAAAAAAAATCTATTACAATGCATCAAAATCCAAAATCAAATGTTACTTAATGTTCTTCATAAAATTTAAATTCATATAAAATCTGCAAATGATTGTCAATTGTAGTTTGCTTCCATCACTTCCAAATTACAATCAGTCTCTGACCATGCCGTTCATTTGATTTACTCAGCTTGAACTATTTTCATTTGACTCTTATTTATGCATCTTTGCTAATTTAATTTAATCTTCTGATTGTCATTCAAAACATCCATAACAATATGCCTTGTTATTATGCAGTTTGATGCCTTTACATCCTGAATAACTGATAATCACCCTCTTTAAATCTCTTGCTATTCTAACATTTTTACACTTTGCAGAATTGAAATACTGCAGCAAGGCTGTAGCCCATACTGCTCCAGTCAGGTAAAATTTGGTTTGCTTCATTAGAAGACAGGGATAATAGCCAGTACATAAGAGGGGCACCACTGCCCACGACAGCTTGTCCTTGCAACAGAACCACACTTCGGAGGCTGACCCGTCATCCCCAAGTAAGGAGGATACTCGGACTGAAGTGCTGTCTCCCCAGCCTGCAACAAGGGCTTGCAGAAAAAACTGCAGAGGAAAGAGTCAAAGATTCTCTATTTCTAGCCAACAGAAAAAGCAGTAAAGAAAGAGATATTCAGACTTTCAGGTAACTTTCTCAAGTCCTGATAGGACAGCCTCCTGTGTTGGACTCGTGGTTTGCTCTGCCTCCTCCTGTTCTTCCGTGTCTTTTTATTACAGCCTTATTCCATATCTTTCAGGTTTTTCTTCCTTGCTCCCCCTATCTCACATGCTTCGCTTCAGGGTCCCCCTGATGCCAACACATAACCATGGAGTTACCTTGACTGACTGCTATCATGCAGATTACTCCCGCTGGGGGCTATCTTGTCTACTTAGATTGGAATCTCCTTGGCACAGAGATTGTCACCACTCCGTGCCTGCATAACGCCTAGCAGAAAGAGTCTTCTTTTGATCAGTCCTCTGGCACTAATGTAATAAGCATGATTAATAAAATATCTGTCTATACTCATATACAGGAAATGCTAGGACTATATGAGAACAAAAACAGGTTCAGCTTTTATAATGCTGGAAATGTACAGCTAAATCCATGAAATTTTCTACTAACAGATGGACACGAAGATGATCAGAGGGCGGGAGCACCTCCCCTATGAGGCCAGACAGAGAGTTGGGGTTGTTTACCCTGGAGAAGAGAAGGCTCCAGGGAGACCTTATTGCAGTCTTCCAGTACTTAAAGAGGCCTACAGGAGAGACTGGGAGGGATTCTTTATCAGGGAGTGTAGCAGTAGGATGAAGTGTAACAGTTTTAAACTGGAAGAGGGTAGATTTAGACTACATACTAGGAAGAAATTCGTTACTGTGAGGGCAGGGAGACACTGGGACAGGTTGCCCAGGGAAGTTGTGGATGCCCCCTTCCTGGAAGCGTTCAAGGCCAGGTTGGACAGGGCTTTGGGCAACCTGGTATAGTGGGAGGTGTCCCTGCCCATGGCAGGGGGCAGGGTTATCTTCAAGGTCCTTTCCAACCAAAACCATTCTATGATTCCATGACTGAGTAACAAATGGAATATTTAACAGGAAACAGTGATCTGACTTACTTTGCTCTCTTGGCCATTTCATTGCCATCCCAGCGGGGGCTGTAAGGGTAGTTCTTCTGGGCCTGGGAGTACAGCTGGCCACTGTTAGTGAAGTGGTAGACGGACTGAAACGTTAGGGTCGGTTGGTCTCGAGGAAAGTAGAGGGGTAGGTCAACTGAAATAAAAGAAAAGAAAAGAGAAAAGAGAAAAGAGAAAAGAGAAAAGAGAAAAGAGAAAAGAGAAAAGAGAAAAGAGAAAAGAGAAAAGAGAAAAGAGAAAAGAGAGAAAAGAGAAAAAAGAGAGAGTGTCACATAAATACAACATTGCATTTTTTCTTTTTTTATTCTTTTTCTTCTAGGAATATAGAATTCCTTTCTATTGGTTTAAAGGTGACAGAACAGGAGAAATTGATGATCACTTATAAAATATACTTCCGCATTTCTTATAACGAATGATTTCAACATATTCCTGTATGGGCAGTTTGCTTTATCACAACATTTTTGTAAATGACCTAATTAAAAAAAAATGTTTAGCTACTGTATTTCTATGCTAATCATAAAATTTACACCATAATTATTTTGTTATAGAAAAAAAATAACATTATATTTTCCTTTATAGTGAAATTTTCCCTTTCAAAAATTCACATAATACGTTCTGTTTATACTTTCTATTCAAGAACAACTTTATCTGCTTTAGCCAATTCATTTTAGTGCTCCCATGGTCATCAAAAGCATTATGAAGATATTCTGAGACGAAGTGGCTAAATGATTCGAAAAAGGATGTAGAAAGACTCAGTCACATGAGTTGGAAAAGATCTCAACTTGCTGTCAACTGTTAGACAAAAAAAAACCCCACAAAACCAAAAACACACTACAAAGTCATTAATACCCAAACTATATCACTAAAAATAAAAATCAGAACCTCTTACTTCCCTTTGCTTATCACTGTCTCATGATGAGCTACGTCTGGAAGAACAATAAAATAGTCTGCAACAGTTAATAATACAGTCAGAAACTGGTTTTTAAATTAACTTTTTCATTGCTAGATTTATACTTAAGATGGTTTTGGTCTACCTTCGATTGCAGGAGGCCTCAGGAATCTGCAGTTAAACTGAGCTATGACAAAGGACTGAAATAATTTACATTAAATGTAGAATCTAATACCAAAACTAACAGAAAAATGTACATTTCTTTTAAAGGTGCAGATTTCATTTATAATGAACTGTAACACGACTGTACTTTTTGTTGCCCTCCAAATCACAATTCTTTAATTCTGCACAATGAAAGAACACTGCAATGGAACAGTACCTCCCTGTAAATCCTAGATAATTTCTCCTATTGGTGTAGCAATGAATGAAATAAATTAATAAAATTATAACTCATTCATACAAGCCTGGCTTCTCAGTGTTGCCTCTTTGTGACTTCACAGTCCTTTTCAAGGAGAAGGAAAGACTCCTGACTTAATAAACAGGTTGTAAAAGCTGAAGTAGGAGCCAAAGCAGGTGGCAAAATCACTACAAACAGAACTTAAAAAAAAAAATTTATAGGGCTGAACTCATCATCAAGTGGACAGTATCTCTCCTCCAGCACACTTGGTAATGCATTATATTTTCTACTTTTAAATACTTCACAGAGCACTGCCTGTGAAATCTCCGCTCATAGACTGAAATATCATTGTAAGACAAAATTTCTTTTTCTAAATTCTGTGCCTTCATCCTGCTAGTCCCTTCATTTTCCAGTTTTTCTAATCATGTCTGAATACTTGGATGTGCATCAGCCAAATCACAGCTCCTTCTTCCCTGAATGACCCTCCAAGCTCTAAGAGTAGAACTGTTTGTAGCTGTGAAGTACACAAAACTGAATGCGATATTTCAGCTGTAGTCTCAAAATACAAGCAATCACTGTGGATGACAGCATTTGCTCAGTTCATGACCCAGTCTCTGAGGTACACGTGATAACTCCTGGAGCCCTGGTGACTCAGCTCACACAGCAGCTTCCAGCAGATATTTAAGTGGTAATGACATGGGCAGAGTTCTGTTACTGCTGTAACAAAGGTTAGATTGAAAGATTGCTCTGTCAAATTCCTCTTTGTAACATGATTATTAAATAACAACCCTGAAAAACATTGGTGTATCGAGGCCATTTATCAGCAAGCAAGCTTTCTACTCCCCTTGCAGATGGTGTGTGTGTGCCACAATCTCTGAAGAACTTCACCATGGAAAAGAGTATGGATCAAGGAGACAGGCTCTCCATTTTAATGTTATAAATATACTTCTTCAGCTCTGGTTGCTTAAACTTTGTTCCTCTAGTGTCTCTTTTTTCCTTCTTCAGTACAAGCTCCTTAAAGCAAAACTACTCTGTATGCTTGTGTACTTTATCACTGTGTGGAAGGAACAACAAACTTTAGCAAAACACTTGAGTCCTTATACAGTTCAGTCTTTATACTTCACTTTTTACTTGAGAATTTCTAACTTTCTTTAACTTTCCTTTGAAAACCTCTGTCCACATAATGAGGACAAGCAACTGCAGTCTCCTTCCTATCACCCAAAACTAAAGGTCTGCACTTAAGAGAAAGTATCTAGCACTAGAAATGCTTTTTAAAAGGATTATCATGACATTGCTATTACTTCAGAGATGCTTCCATGTGTTTCGAGAGGCCTTTCTTTTATAAAATATTTTTGCAACACTGGTATCACCAAAATATATCAGAAAACATTTTTTCCTTTTATTACCTAAAATCTGTATAGGATTTCTGAGGAATCACTTGCACTATGAACTGTTAAATCAGATAATGAGATTAGACTTAAAATTGTGCATCCCACATCTGGTCAACAGCAGTATCATCCTGAACTGCAAGTAGAGTTCTGAAAAAATTGAGAACCTGCTTTTAATTTCTAACAGTATCCTTCACCTAAAATCACCAAACTCCCATTTTTCTATCCCTCGTGTTGCCTTAATACAAGGTGAGAGATGAACCCAGACCAAGTAAAAAAACCTGTCCCTAATTCTGGAACACAACCACACCTAAAAGACCAGTAAACAGGAAATAGCCTTGAGTTGTAAAGTGTTATACATATCTCAAGGTAGCCAGCTATTATTTCGGCAGTAGGAAGGGAAGGCAAGAACTCATTTCCGTCACAGTGGATGCCCGTCCATTGACACATTGCACAGAATCCTTGGATTTGGGGTGAAGCATTTATCGCACATGAAAAATAAGCAAATACCATTGGTAATCAATGCTAGCAAGGTGCTTTGAAGAGAAAAGGTCGAATTCTGCTCATAGTCACACAGGTTGGTAAAGAAAATTCTTCTTTTTACCTGGTCGTATGGGCAATCTGACTCTCAATCTGCGCATTAATGCAAAATCAGATCTGCCTTCATGCGATATGCAAGGTGGCAAAGGTGTTATCGTGAATACATGCCAGACAACATTTACAATTTGTCATGAAAAATGCATCACAGTCAAAAAAAACACACTGCTTTTGTAAATCAACACCTGAACCAGGCAAACTATAAAAGCCCGCTTTGGTTCAGCACGCTAGTTACCTAAGAACTACAAAAACGTATTCATGCTGAATACAAGTACTATTTCCAAATAACAGCTGACTCACAAAGTACCCTGGTGATATGTCTGCAGAAAATAAGCAGATGACTCATGTCTGTAAATTCCTGAAAGTACCAATAGACCCCTTGCTTAGTCATCCTTTGCTTGGATGCTGGGTTCATGAGCTCTGTAAACTATAATGAGGGATCTAGCTCTTAGTAGGACTCTCTCTTCTTTTTTTCCTCTCTTCTAAACAGTGCAAATTATCTCTCTAAAAATAACTTCATCTACGTAAGTGAGTCACTTCAAGTAGCAAGCTTATACAAGTCATGCAGTTAAGCTGTAATATTTGGTTATGAAGGTAAAAATCTTGCTGTCAAACTCAGATTTAAACTGAAAATTATGTCAGAGGAAGTCCCATTTACCCCTTCCCTCACAGAAATAGAAACATTTCCTTTGGAAAATTTAAACAATTAGCTCATTCAGGAAAGAAAAGTTTTCTAATTTAGTTCCATACTCAAAGTAATTTAATCCTGATGATTTCTTACTTTGGCTTTCCTAAGCATTGCACCATTAATGTAAGAGGAGCTCAAAGCAGCAGACTGCAGAAAGAAGCCAGTACCACAGTAAAACACTGCTTTCTCCTATGTTAGAATTTAAGGATAATTTTTTAAAAGTCAAGTTTTAGAAAGCCATAGTGCGGGGAAAATAATGTCTTTATGAAAGCTCTACATGAGCAGAACTTGGAGGGCTGTTTTGGGTAATTAAGCATTGAGTAAATTCTTTGGTGATTGAACCCTAATTTTCCCACACAGTTCATAAGAAAGCAAAAGAAAAAGGACTTGCTTGTTGAGAATGAGTCATGTTGCAAAGAAACTTAATTACAGTTTATAAATAGTTGAAGTTGCTCTCTTTTTGAAACATAAGAAACTATCAAGAAGTAACACACAAATTTGCTTCTCTTGACTTAGCATTTAATGCACACATGTATTCAAATCATAGTTATCTTTAAGCCAAAATCTTGATTCATTAATAACTAAAAAACTGGGCAATGAATCAGTAAGGTTTAATTGTTCATTTTCTTCAACAACTCTCTGAGATCTGGAACAGGTTACCTGCTTTGTTAAGCTTATGTCAACAACTACAGAGTTGCTTTCAACAGTCTCATTAACTCTAAAATAATATCTTTACCATCTAATTTTATAGCTTTTTAAACAGGGTATGAAATGTGGAAGGGATGTTTTGGCAAAAGCATAGAGTTTCTGAAGGAAAAATGCTCCGAACAGATAAGGCAGGTTTACCTCGCCTATAAGCACTGGAGAGAAGAGATGGAAAAACAAAATCATGCCTGAAATGCATGCTGACCAATGCACATTACACTACAATTATTTCAAAGTACTTAGATGGCAATATTTAGAATATTTTCCATATACTGGTCACCTGTTCTAGAGAAAAGGCTTATTCATCTTTTTTAAGGCACTGGATAAATCTAGATACTTGTTTTCTCAGAAGTCAACATTTACTCACTGAATCTTATGTGCTGTGTGAATGCTTGGATGGTACTACACTGGTTATCGTACTGACCTTTTGGATGCTTGAATCTGCTGCAGTTTATTGCACCTGTCATTTGTTTTGCACTCAAACACTGGCTGATCTGGATATTTTACTGCTGAGATTTCTATTTCTACAAGATTTCATGGCCTGCACAACCTTAATTCAATCTCTACTTGCTTTATGGAGCAGCCTTCAAGCAGCAGATAACACAGTATTCTTTCCAGTTCAGTTCCCAGGCTGGACAGAGCTGGCCAAAGGAGACACTGTTTGGGTTTGCCCTATCTGGTCGACTCTACCCCTCTGCATTTATTTACTGCACAACACTGAAGTATTACTCTACTTAAATATGTATTCATATCTGCATGAGCTTTTAAGCGTTTATTATTCTAATCAACATAAGAGATGACGATAGCTACATAAAATGTATTAAAAAGTTGCTTCACAGCACTTTAGTAAGTTGAGAGGCTATTTAGGGATTCCAGACCGGGAATGAAGGAACAAGGAAAGGACAGTCAACCTGTCTACTGATGCTGAGTGCCAGCCTGTAGGACCCAATTCTCCTGAGAATTAGTAACAGACAATACTTTGTATAGCCACACACAACTCCTTCCTGACTGCCACAGTATGTACTTCAGAATCAACGATTACTGGACACGTGAAAAGTTTTATTTAAATTATTTCACCAGAAGAACAAAAAGGGTACAGGACTGATGTGCCAAACCCAAATCTCCAGAGAGCACTGAAAAGTCTTAGCCTGATACTATCCGTTTTCTTCCCGAAATTCCCTGACTCACTCCTGGCTTATCATCCAACTTTGGCTAGAGACTGACTCTGCATTCAAGTGCTTTCGACAAAGTAAGTAATGGAAACAGGAAACACATATTCCAGGCTCCAGAACTGTCTCTTCTTAGTAAATATTCATCATCTTTTGGCTTGTTCTTTTTGTTTGGTTCACTGAATTGCACATTTTCTCTGCCTTTACTTGCAACTGAGCTCACACTGCTGGGAAAAAAACAACTTGTGGATTTGAATGCACTGCCTCCAACTGAAAAGTTCCTTGGATTCAGAGCTCTCCAGTTTTCATGATGTGTTAATGTGGACGAGAGCCATATGAATTTACAACACAACCCAGTGGTAACACAGGTATTATACTATGGAATGCTCCTTACACATCTATCAAGCTCTGTTTAAGAAAGAAAATTTCTAGTAGCTCTTCTGATGTGACTTCTCCTATGGGAAAGCTGCTCCAGACAGTCTGTATGATGGGTGAAAAATCTTCACCTAACTTCAAGGGAAAACAGCTCTCTTCGGTTTTCACACAGAAATTCCAGTACAGAAGCCTTTCAGGAATCATACCGGTCACCACACCTACTGAGATACCTGAACAGATTCAGCCACAAGCATTTTGGGGACTGTAGTAGCTAGCACAAATCTCTGCTGGACAAGATTTCAGGCTATTTTGCCTAGTGAATCTTTCTTCAGCTCTTGTGTGCTGAAGGCCTTTAGCCTACATTCTGCTGGCAAAAAAGGAAAGGGTGAATTTGGCTCAAAACACAAAGAATTACAAAATGCCACAGATATCCTGCTCTGGTGTGTGATGATGCAGTCTTGCAGGAATGAGAGAGCAAGGATGACAAATAACATATCAATGGCATTAGTGTGAGACTTTAGGTTAACAGAGCACTGTCATAGGAATTTGAATTTGTTAAATATTATTAGGGCTAACATCCTTTCTGGAGAAAAACAGGTTCTTTGCAGGATGATGATATTTTGAAATTAACATTTCAAAATTTCAAATGTGAAATAAAAAGCTGTTTATGGAATTTTAGCTGAGACACGGTGCTTTGGGTGTGTTGGAAATCACAGCTGGTTTTGAAATAATTAAGTCTGCCCTTGCTATGAGAAATGTTCACACCATCGGCAAAGTGAACACTTGTATAGTAAATGAGGAAGACGATTTACATACAAAGAATTTCCACATAAATACTATGACAAAACAAATAAAAAACATGGTAAACACATTACTTGCAGACTTCAATGAGACTAGAATAAATTTATCACTTAGCTAGCTTTGTTATAGTTTGTTAGTGGAGGCTTTTTGTCTTTCTAAATATAAAGTATGTAACCCATTTTTATTTGAAGAAGACTGCATGACACTGCTGTATTTATCTTGTGGTTCTCATTCTACTGATAATGGGAACTACAATATAATCTAGGCACTAATGGCAATGAGATTTATGATTACTGTTATTCTGATTTTATATCAACATAGACAGATGATACAGTTGTAAAAATATCCCATGTCTTTATCATAACCTGTATCTTTCTTTTCAAGTACTCCATCCTTCACAGAAAAACAGCTTTTTAAAAAATGCAACAAAAATAGTTTAAATACCTTAAGTTACAGTCATGTGCTGCAGACAGAGCATCTCATTCTTTATTTAGTCTTACAGAGGAAACTAAGTAACAGATAAAATCAAGATATTCTTAAAGCAGTTTCCAGCTATGCGGTCAAAGACCATGAAAAAGTGTAACTTAACCCAAAAACTGCTTTATAATGTCTTTTTGCTTTGGAGTGTCATCACCCACCTCAACTATGTCACATGCTTTCAGACTTTTCAGCAAGACTGGACTACTTCCTAAAAATATCCCATTGAATATCTCATAATTCTATGCTGAGCCTAAAGCAATGGCATAATGACCTCAAAGGTATTTTCCTTCTCTAATTTCTGGAACCTTGATTATTTTCATTACGAGAAAGGCTTATTTTTACCTCACCAGCTTCAGCTAGTGAGATCTATTTATCATTATTTTTGCTTCAAATTCTCAAAGATCTTCATTCCCTCCCCCTTCCGTTTTTATTTCCTTTTATTGTTTCTGCTGTAACAGTTTCTATAGTAACTTCTCTAAGTGCTGATGAGATTGATGCTACGAAAAGCTGCCTCTGCTCCATCTGAATTGCTTGAAGCTCGTTCTTTAAATACAGTTGCAGTTGTTACGGATGTAAAAAGCAAACTGTGCCCTTTCTTGGCAAGTGCTGGGGACCATCGCATGTAACTGGTGGGCAAAAGGCGAAGACATTTCCTCTGCTTTCCCAGTACCGAGACTCACTGCTAAATACTGAGAAGTTATAAATTTCTTTCCAGCAAGACTGGAAGACTTCTAAAGCATGTTTTCACCTGAAAAGTAGCTGTGCAAAACATTGGCTTCTCTCACTGACACTTTATTAAGCTTATGAGGCTTGCAAATAAGTTCTTTTTCCTTTTTTAAACACTGCCTAGGATTGGAAAGGAAACTGATTTATTTCATTCTCATCTGTGATCAGCGTGACATTATTCTGCAGGTCAGAAGGACCCTCTGCTGACACACATGCTAACCTGTTCTTTCAAGCTTCCCTCCATGCAGGCTTATGGCTTTCAAATCACAACGCAGTGTAATCCCGCCTGACCCAGAGCGCCAACTAAGCCACTCCAGATATTTTTAACGCTAAACTGAAATATACTTTACCGCAATACGGGCCCATTGCTTCTTCCCACTCCTGAACATTACAATTTATCAGTTTTGCCCTTGAAGGCACATTTTGCAGTTCTAAAGGCTTATCCTTCTATTGCCTTTTCATGGCCTAAAGAACTAGTTTGTGAAACATACTCTTTTAAGCCACACTTTCTAGACTACCAGTCATTTTTGGTGCTCTCTTATGAATATTCCATTTGAGGATTAAGAAAGACAAATAGCAGGATCACAACCCTGAGCTTCAGGGAACAGACTTTGAGCCATTCAGAGATCTTGCTCCTCCAACGGAAGAATCCTATGGGATAATGGTCCTGGAGAGAAGAGGGGTCCATGATCACCTCCTCCAAGCTCAAGAATGGGTCACCCTAATGAGCAGAAATTCAAGCAACAGTAGCAGGAGACCTACATGGATGAATAAGGAGCTCCTGACAAAACCCAAACACAAAAAGGAAGCACACAATATACGGACACTCTCTGAGCACACAGATACTGGGTTGGGAATGTCAAACCTCACCTAGTTGAATCTGGCAAGGGGAGTTAAGGACAAGAAGATGGGCTGCTACAGGAATGGCAAAAGGAAGACTTGGCAAATAGTAGGATTGCTGCTGAATAGGGCAGGGGTACTGGTGACGAAGGAGACAGAAAAGCTGTTTAAGCACTCCCTCCTTCTCCCACTCAAACATTTAAGCATCTCTGTGACCAGTTCCATCTCTAAACCAAGGTGCATTTCTTATTATTAAAAAGTAAAATGTATTTATCTATTTCATAAAAGGCATGTAGCAGTCCTTTATGTGTCACTGCTGTGTTACAGATGGATTCTTAGAAGAAGTTTTCTTTGGTGACAAAGTAATTGTCATTGGGTAGAAAGATGAAGGAGATAGGAAAGGATTCAGAAAATCTTTCTCTGCTTGATGCAGCTCTTATTTCTAGAAACTTTTTATCTCTAATAATCCTGTTTTGTTTTTTTTCTGAAAGCATTGCCTGGTATTGAAGCCAGGACTGATCCACGTGAAACCCATGCTCATCATCTCCTCTCCAGACTGAAAACAAAATACTTGCTTTCTACTTGCTACTATGAGCAATTTTCAACTTGCTGTATCTCACACCTTTAATGCAGTTCTCACCTTAGAGAAAAACTATCTGTGAATGCCATGTGAGACAATGTCAAGATGTGTTGACACAAGACATACAGTAAGAAGAAAAAGTACCACAATCCTTACTTAAATCCCAACTCTGTTAATGATTTTAATAATTTAATAATTACTTTTTTTTCCAAAAATTAAGTGGATAAAGTAAGATTGTATCACTTCCCCATCTTAGGCATCTTTTCTGCAAATTTATTAGTTATCTATCATATACTTGGGCATGTAGTAGTAGTACTCTAGATATATCTATCAGATAAGAAAAAGCAACAGTTCACTTTTCTGAAAAGTGCAATTTTATACAAAGTTATTACAAAACCTTTCAGTCCATTTGTTTAAGTGCTCACAGTTCCTGGAAGAACATCAATTAATGTCTACAGTAATATACTAGAGTTTTAAAAGTATGGCAGATACATGCATTTCTTAGAAATTAAAAAGGTAACATCCACAGCAAAGTGACACTTAAAAATACTTTGCCAGTCCACCCATATTAGGCCACCATAAAATACTTGTAAAACCTAATTCTTATCACAACAGTTGTTTCCTATTTGTTGCTTCTCATACCAAGTTTTATGAATCGTCTTGCGTCCATTCTCTGTTTTTCAGCAGAATTATAAATACAAACTTAAAACTAGTTTATTCTTAGTGACACAACTGAAAAATGAACACAGAGAAACAGAAAAAGAGGAAAAGAAAACCTCTGTTTTCAGGTTCATTTGCATCCACTATGAACACATAAATATAGAACATCTCATTCAGCTCATGTACAAGTAAATACCCTGGAAGGAACTGAAGGAACACAAAGTTTAATGGACTTTTAATGACGAAAATTAAATTATCAGCTTTCAATATGAATTTGGCAGCATCCCTTAGAAATAAGAAAGAAAAACACTCTACAGAGAAAAATGATCAGCAAAAGGCTAATTAATATTCCGAATGTTGCAATTTAGTCCAGGGATTAGCCCCTGCCTATGCCTAAGTGCAGAACCACATGCCTCTGATTCAGGCTATTTTCCACCCTACAGCCTGATCGACAGCACTGCATTGGATCTGCAGCTTTCATTGACTTCAGTTAAGCAATATGCACCTCACTACACAGGAAAGGTCAGAGAATGCTTCATTTTCTGGTGATTAAGAGAGTGCAAAGTTTTGAAGAGATCTCTTCTGCTCAGGGTATATTTTGCTGTAGACAGAATGACGTGTGCTCAGGAACTTTCACGACCAGTTTCAAAGAAAATTCATGGTACTGATTAAAAGTATGGAGAGAGTCAGAGGAAAAGCCTCATGAGAGACCCTTCTCTGCTCACTGAACAGTCAAAAAATTACTCTCAAGCATTAGATCCAAATGGCTTCTGCCAGCCAGTTTTACATCACGGGGGCTTTGTTAATCTTCAATTTCTCATTGAAGAACGAAATGACATCCCTATACAATCTTTGCAGACTTTTTAAATCAGCATTCAACTTCTCATATTAGACTCCTGAAAGATTTATTTTGTTATGCTTGACATTTCTGCTGAACTATCTTGCCTTCCTGACACTACCAGACAGCAGTCCATTCTCCTACACCTTGTTATTCACACTGACATGTTCTCTTTCTCCTTCTCCCTTGGTTTTCAGAGAGTCATAAACCCCATTTTCACTTAAGGAACAATGAGAAGAATAAAATAAAAGCACTATGTAAGGAAGTCGCAATACCTCATTAGATAAAAGCCCACAGAAGCTATCTAATGTAAATACTCCAGTGAACACTTGGTACTTTTTTAGAAAATGACTTGGGCAGAAAACAGTTTATTTTCCGATATGTTTTCTTGAAAAGTCTTATCTTTCATAATCAGACTAACTTCCCTGAAGAAGTAGAGTCAATACAATTTAATTTCTTCCAAAGACTTTTTTCATGGAATTTTAAGCGTTAATTGCAATGACTGCCAGGCACTGATACTGATGAAGAAGAGCAACTCTTGAAGGTTATCTTCCCTTCAGCTTCCAAAACACATGTGAGCAAGCCTTACATGACAGAAAGCTGAAAAAAAAACAACTCTAAAACTACCAATCCCACTCAAATGTTTGTTCATACTCCAGAAGCACACAGGAGTCATCGAGCGTATTCCAACTGCATTAAATACTATATCCAAACAACAAACACTAGCTACTTCTCACATTTACACTATGGCCAAAGCTGCAGGCAGATAAAGGTTTACTGAAATATTAACAGGAATATTTACATGAAATAGTCTCATGTTCTGGGTTCCATACTGCTTGGATAAACAAATTATTTCTTAAACATTTTTATTATCTCAGTGACTGTGGAGTTAGTGTGGCAGGCATGGAATTTTTCAAATAGGACTCTGCAGAAGCAATTTCAAAAAGAACAATAAATACAATCTCAGATGAAAGAAAATATTTTTGCCTCCTCACATAAGCTCTCCTAAACCCAAAGAGCGAACACTAAGTGATCAGACACATGTTCATCTAGGAAAAATCTTCCATTTAAGACTTTACCAAACCTCCTTGCTAGCCACATACTACCACAAAGTCTAACTTGTTTATTTAAACAGCTGCTGGAGGAATAGATGAAGGGCCTGACGAATGCTCATTAGCTCTGTTATGTTGACTTTCCAGAGGTGGGGCAATCTCCTTTAAAGGACAGGTAACAACTTAAACTACACCAGGTGCCTGAAAACTTAAGTTACCTAAATTCTAAGGATTACTGCTGCTCTACTGAATTAATAAAACAATACCTGAAGCCTAAAGAGATATTTCTGCTTGGAAAGGGAACTGATAGAAGGAATTACTTCTTCAATGCAAATTTGTTTATTTTCAGTGAGTGGGACACATTCCTCTTTCTCTGAACAGCACTGGAATAAACTGCACTTTATTTGCACAGTAGTGTAAACTTACCTTCCCAGTTACTAACATTCTTTTCCCAAAATGTCCAATTTGGTTTTTTCCTGTCTTCCAAAGCCTCATTTGATGAACATAACTACCAAGAATTCTTTGTGTCTTTAGTTTCCAAGCTGCTTTCTGTGGACAGACGCCTAATTGAGATCCACAAGAGCTTTATGTGAGTGAACCCCAGTTTTTTAGCTCAGGCCATCAATTCAAACCATGGAAGTTGGCTGCATTGGCACAAATTGCTCTGCTGACAAATGTGTGCAGACAGCAATATCCAAACAGGAACGCATCAGAAGCTGGCATTGATGACTTCCACCAAAAAACCCTGAATCCAGAAGGACATGTCCACCCAAAGCCTGGGCAGAACCTCCCATAATCCAATTCATGCTCTGGGGCGCTTGCTTGCTTCTGTCTCCTGTGTAAAAGCTTCCTTCTTGCTGTGATGCTGCCTATTTCTGATCTATTCTGTGACAGAGGTAACCACATAACTGCACAGACAGGTAAGAGTGTGGGGTAAAAAGCTACTTCAGTTGGCACTTTCATAGCAAGAAAGCTTGTTAATTAAACTTTAGCTTTAACATGACCAGCACTTTGGACCTCCTGGGTCACTGGTATCACTCAACACAGAACCCGAAATCTCTTAGGTAGCCAAAGTCAGTGGCAGCAAGTGTTCCCACCACAACTTCACCTAATGAGATCCCATACAAACTTAAGATACAAGTACTGGCAGCTTCCAACATTCCCCATCCCAGAAAACATTGTTCCATGAAACAAATCCTATTTTGGTTAGTATTTGTCCTTTTCAGGATGTCTTAAATAACCACTGACAAGAGCAGTGTTCCATTTGCTATTGCAACTGATCTAACTTCTGTCCATCTCCTTTGTGCTGATCACTTAAAAATCTCATACGATAAAAATTGATCTTTGAAAAGCTTATATACAGGTTGTTTTGGAGTCCTATTCTTGTGCCCATACCAGTAAGACTTCTTAGTTCTTAATTACGCACAGAAATGCAACTTGTGTTTACATTTACATATGGTATAAAGACACAGAATGTATGCAGGAACAAGAATCTGAAAACATCTCTCTCTCCAAAAACTAATCATAGCTGATTTATAAACAAGAAGAGAAAGAAATCAGCAGTATACTGAAGTTTACTTACACAGTTTCATGCTGAGACCTACTCATAAACAGTATCAATATCAAAACCACTAAGCCTGATTAATGATTTCCTCTTCCATGTGGATGCATGAACTCTTCTGTTTATTTCTCCTGTCATATATTTGAAAGCACTTGATTAAATTCTTAAACTAAACCACTAAAGCAACAGTTCCTTTGACTGCTCTTTGATCTAATATAGTAACTTCAGCAGCTACATTAATCTAATGATTAAGTTTGCAATTAGGTAGCTCTTCTGTGTTTTAAGGTAGAGTGGGTAGACTTGGCTCTTCATTCTGTATCTACAGCACAAATCAATTTTTTTAGTGAGTAAAATTGTTCTGAGGTTATCTGGTTATTTGACAATCCAGAACTTTCCCATTTCTCTCCTCCTATCTTTAACTCAGTTTATTCAGTAAAACTATTCTGAATAATTTCACTTTACTTCTAATGTGGTTTGCTTCCTAGTTTCCAAACAAGTTTGTAACTCTGAATGTAAATAGTTGCAAAAAAAGACTAAAGTTATTTTTTAAATCTCTGAATGTACCTTCTAAAGGAAATACAAATCATGTTAGGGTTTATATTTCTCATAATCTCAATTAAACCTAAAATTTTAACCAAAATTAAGATGCTAGTAAAATTTACTGTGATCCCTTTCATTCAATTTGCCATGGTGCTTGCTGTACACTGACCCGTTTATTCTCCTCTGAATATTTTCTCTTCATACTATAAAATATAAAGTAGAACAGTTTTCAACTTACGGCTATCTCTCCCAGACATTTTATTAGATGCTTGCTAAATATTCAACCATAATATACATAGTTATGCCAGTGGTTAAGAGATGAAAGCCTACATTACTTCACTCAGGAAATGAAGTGCAGGTTTCAGTCCTTTCATTGCAATATCCTTCAGCGCATGGAACATAAATGTTTTTGCAGTGGATTGTTCAGCAAGCAGGTGATGCAATGGCTTACACAGCTCACCCACTGCATGATTCCTAAGGCCACAGGGTTAATACATAGTGATAAACTATTCAGTTATAATTGCAGCTTTCATGCCAGTTAAATTGAGCACTCTGAATCTCACATGGTTAAAATATACTCTATTATTTAACAGAAATTTGAATTTTGATTCCCCTGAAATCTAACTGCTTCAGCATCTAAGCGGTTATACTATCCCATGGCAAAAATAAAATCCACAGCAATTTTAACACTGATAAAATTAAGCCAAAACATACTGGGGAGTAAGGAAGCTATGAAATCTTCAAGAAGGTTGTACATAAAGAAGCACCATCTCATAGAAGACAATCAACCAGTGACCGATTCTCAACTGCAGTTGAAGAATAAGATGTAATAAGGACAAGTTTTCAAAAAATATCAGTTTCATTTCTTTTTTCCACAACATAAACAATATTAATATGGTGGAACTTTTTAATTTCAAGTTTGAGTTTTCTAGACCTCTTATGATCATTACTGTCTGGAAATCTTTGATGACAAAAAGAAAACGATCAGTGAGACAATTTTTTATGATCTCCAATACAACACAGGGTGAAGGACTCCTCTGAAATATGCCAATCCCAAATTCTTGCTTTAAAAACTCTGCAACAAATTCCTATGATGTCATTTAGACACCATTAGTTTTCCACATGAAAAGTCATCCCACAATAAAAAAATGACGTAATCTAAAATATCTAAATCTAAATGACATAATCTAAAATGCAGTGCTAGAGTGTCAACAAACACCAATTTTACAGCTGCCCAGACTGCACTGTAATTATTTTAAACAAAGATGACAAGTTTAATAATCAAAAATAAAAGATAACATGACTGAATTTCCCTGGACCAAAATACCTTTGATACTTGTGAATTTCAGCTTACCATAGGGAAAAATAACAATTGCTACTTACGGTAACATGTATAAAGCAGTAACAAAGCCACACTCACTAATTTCTACATTAATCCTATATATTTATTTAAGAATGTCTTTTTGAAAGTTATACAATCTTGATTTAAAAATTTCAAATGAGAGCAAACCTAACTACATAATGTAGCAAACTGTTAGACAGTTTTGCCTACACAGTTTCAGTCTAGGAATAACTTCTGGCTCCTAACGACAGTATAGCATCATTTTGCATTTAATGTATTTTCCCTAACCTGAAGTGTC